TAAAAAATTCAACGATAACCTACATTTGATTGGAGTTATATTTCAGTTAAGTAATTAATCGTTCACACTCACACACACACACACACATACACACACATATATATATATATGTGTGTGTGTGTGTGTGTGTGTGTGTGTGAGTGTGTGTGAAACCCTCTTAAAGGATTATGAAATAGATTTAAGTACTGTCACTGAAAACTCATTTTTGTACAACACCGGCTTACACAGAAGTCAATTCATTTTTTTGTGCATTTTGCAGACTCCGATTTGAAGGCTCACTGTTGCTCCCTCACGCTACTACATATAACAGTATCAACGAGGAGGGACATTTCTTTTTGTTATTTGTTTTGTTAGGAGAGAGTGGATTGTAAGAGGCAGTGGGAGTAATGACGTCAGAGAAACCCATGTTGCATGTTGGCTCAGCGCCGATCCGCGAGTGGTCTTCAGAATTCTGGCGGCCCCCCTGTTGAATTCGCGCCGTTTTGCATTTATATCGATAACCCAGACAAAGGCAATCCATCACTGTCAGAATACCACACCCACGAGGTACACCGGCCAATCCCTGGCCCTTCTGACCCTGGCCATCGCATTCTGTGACATCACTCCAGAAAATGATCAACAATATTTTCCCAATTTTTAAATAACCGTTTAAAAGAGGGAAAATATTATTGATTATTTTCTGGAGTGAGTCTTCGAAATTTCGTAACAACCAGCAAATATTAATTGTCTGAAAATTCAAAGGCCGTTGTGATAACGTCGCTGATTGGTTAATAAATACAAATACAAAAATTCAAATCTGGAGCCTACAAAATGAAAAGAAAAATGAGTCGACTTTTGTGTGAGCTTGTTTTGCAAAAAAATTATTTTCCAGTGACAGTACTAAAACTATTGCATTTTTTACAATTCTTTAACGGTGTTCCACAAATATATATATATGTGTGCGTGTGTGTGTGTGTATGTGTGTAGTTTCTCTTCACGATCTGGGCGATCATGACTCTCCACAAATTTCACACTTTTGATTATTTACCATTCTTCTTTTTATTCTGCCATCCATTCATACAAATTCTTTGGTTGCTTCCTCGAGCTTCTTTTGACTTCAACATGTCCTGTGAGTGTTAAATTCTCCAGACCATCTTCTTGTATTAGGCTGAATTTCAACTGTCTCTTTCTATAAGTTATCTTGTTTTTCCTATGTTTTTCCTTAAGGCTTCCTTATTGCTCACATGTTCTGTCTATGGTATTCCTGGTATTCTTTGATAAAACTAAATATTGAAGACAAGAGAATCAGATGGAAACGGCAGGTAACCAACTTAAAGAGTTGGTGAAAAAGACAGCGATACATGGTAAAAAGTCAAAGGTTACTCAGACCATCAGGGCAGGAAATTAGGAAGAAATATGATCGACGTCTTGAAATAAATGAGATTATGGTTCCTAGAAGATTATGGTTCCTAGAATATTGCAAATGTTTCTCTTGAACACCTGCCTCTTAATTTAACTCATAAACTATATAGCTCTCAGATAATGTTCTATAGTCTTATTATTACAAAACAATTTCAACACTAGTTGTTAATTTTAGGTGGGTAGTAAGTATAATAGACATTGTAAGTTGTAAGTTGTGTGACCTTTGCGTCTTCGTTCTCCGCTTCACTACTTTCTGCTTTTTTTTAAGTCAGTTGGCTTTAAGCTTGATATCGTTTCTGCTTTCGGCTTCCACTTTTCTTTCACTCAGAAACTGGCGATAGTATTGTAAACTATTGTATTATTACAAGTTATTACTTCTCCGGGTTATTATTTAGGCTCTTCGAATGTCGAAAAATGGCGGTTTTTATGTCCATTTTTAACATATAGAAAACCTACTGATATCTATTCTTTCGAAGAATTTCAAGACTTTCAAATGAACCAAAGCTTCGTGCTACAGTGTTTAAAACTTGAAGATGGTGTATAATTGCAGTTTGCTTAGATTAACTAAAAGTAAAAATGCAATGTCCTGCAATAATAGAAAATGTTCAGTTTTGTCAGATGCTCTTAAACTTTTGACAAAGACTGTATGCAGTCTTCCTTAAATTATGTGAGTATTAAAGTCACACAATATGGTTTGATGAATTATCTTACATAAAACTGAGCATGAAATTAAGATAAACTGCACTTATTTTTTCAAATGACTCAAAAATGATTTTTAATTTTTTATGCGAAATCATTTACTCGAAAATGAATATGTCACTCGAAAATGAATATGTCACCATTAACAGAAATCTTTTAAACCAATTATTTTTTAATGTGATGTTTTTCTCGTTTTATTCTTGCCATGATATTTGACACCCTTAGTTGCAGTATTGTCAGAGTCAACCTAGAATTAATTTCTATTTTTTCCTTTTTCTTTTTCTATTTTTTTTTTTTTTTGTTACTTGACTCTAGATTGGCAGCCATAGTTTTATCAAAATTTGTTACACGTTTATTTTTACCTGTCTATATCTCTTTGATGAGGCATTATGACTATTTGCATTATTCGGACGGCTATCTTCATCTTTATTGCAATATTCACAACATTTCCACCGTTGTACGCTCCGGCCCTCTTCGGGTGATTGGAATTTCGAACTGAACCCTTTATTTCGTCCATTGGGGTAAATTGTTCTAGTTCCACCTGCCATGCCTCATCCGAGTGTTTCAGTTATTTCCCTTTAACTCAACTCTCCAAGTTTTTGGTTCACCACTGTTGAAGCCTGGTACCGAACTTACACCTAGTCTCTGGATTTAACCAATGCCTTTTTCCACTGGGCCATATGTTCTCAAGAATACATGGCCCAGTGGAAAGTTGAGTTTTGTTTTGCTTTAATTATATACAAAAACAATAAAATGATATTTAAACACTTTTAGATTATAAAACTAAAGAAAAAAATAAATAAAACAAATGCTAAGCTTATAAATTTAATATTTGTTAAGATTATGATGTTCCTTGAAGTTCGCCCTTTTTCTCTTCGAGAACTATGCATGAAGATATAGGAATGGCTTTGGCTTGTTCTTCCAGTTTATTTGCAGATAATGACGAGTTACCAATTCGTCATTCAGACTCGAATCATAAATGGATGATGCCTGTATCATTGAAAAAGTTTAAAATCCTCAATAGATGATATCTACTGATCTCCAGCGAAACGTTTATTGATAATGCCCACTATTTCAGGGCTAAAACAATTTTTACCTAAATTTCTCAGACGAGGTCTTCTTACACTTAGTAAAAAATATATCGATTGTTTCAGACAAATTTTCTTATCTTTGTTCAGAGACATTTTAACTGATTCAAAACAATACATATTAATTAATAAGCAATTAATAATTAAATTAATAAGTAATTAATCATATTTTATGAGCTTATTGTAAAATTAGTTTATCTTTCCTCTTTTATTGAAATTTTGTTAAAATAATCGATGAAGCATTTTCAACATTAATAAATAGAAATAACAAATCGTATTTTTATTAATATAAATAGGCGAAGACTTTATAATTTATTCATAAGAATATTTTAAGATATTTCTACGTGTGAATGTTCGTATATGCATGACATGAGAATTACATAATAGGCAATGTTTAACCTTGGTGTTCGCAAAGAACGGAGTCAAAAGAATGTGTATTCCCTTTATACCACTATTAATGTATTCGCTTTTAACTCCCTCGGCAATGTCTATTGTTTTAAAAAGCGATGATCAGAATATTAATAATTACATTATTGTTTAAGGTTGACGGACACGCATGTCTTAATTATTTTGTTGTTGTTGTTGTTGTTGTTGTTGTTGTTGTTGTTGTTGTTTTACGAATTGGTCAAACCCAAGCTCAAACAAAAACACTGTTTTCAATCGTAATGAGTCTACCGATTGAATAGAATTTTTCAATTTTATTATAAACAATTGTCTTGTAAATGGAATTTTTAAAGCATTCTGAATGTAAAAATAAAGAAAAAAGTGTGCAAGACTATAAGAAACACTACCTGCCAAAAAAAAGTGAAGTTTTGTTGAAATCGGTTAAAAAATGTAGGAAATCCGATCCCATATATAAACGACCACACACACACACAAACAACCTGGGTTTTATAAGTATAACTCGATATGAGTTGTCCCCCTTTCATTCTCGAAACAGCGATGCCTCGTAATAGTGTTTTCAAATTGATTTCGTGCAAAAACAATTGTGTTTTTTCCAATTTTTGGCACTGTCAGAACCACCGCAAGTTAATTTTACGTAGTCCTGTGAAGTTTTGTTGAAATCGGTTGAAAAATGTAGGAAATCCGATCCAATATATAAACGAACAGACACACACACACAACCTGGGTTTTATAATAAGTATGATCTATGAACAATAAAATTTAAATAAACACATAATGACTGTAATTATAAATTTGGAAAAATGTATTTTCCGGGCGTTTCTTTCATTTGCCCTCGCCGCATAAATGCATTAAAATAGTTTGAGAGCATTTCTTCCTCTTGTATACTTTGATAAGTCTATAATTTCTTATACATTTCTGAATAAAAAAGATTTATTTTCGAATTTATTTCTTTATAAAAGATAAATAATAAATATTGACATTGTAAAGGGTGTTTCATTAAGACGGATTATATATAAGGGTGTTTCATTAAGAAAGATCAAAGTTAGCATTAAGTAAATCAGTGATATTGGTAAAAATTAATTTATTTCTCTATTGGATCATGTTATTTAAGGTATGGTAATTATGTGTGAAAAATAATATTGCCGAAATCTCATCCAATTCTAAAAGAAAAAGAAAGGAATCATTAGACACTTAAACTTAATTTACATTTAAAATCAGTCCAGATTATTGGAACACCTTTTACTTAGTTCATATATTTTTCTAATCTTGTGAATAATCAATGCCGAGGGAGTCAAAATTGCATACAGTAATAGCGGTGTCAACAGAATAACCGTCTGCCCCATGCAGTCAGATGTGGCACAAGGCCGAATGTAATGTGGGGTTCCCGAGCTCGAAGGCTCAGCCAAAATTTCCCCCGTAGGTATTTCCCGAGACGAGACTCTGCCCTTCGGCATAGGCTCGTCTGGGGATGCTCGCTGCCCGGAGGTAGAGAGCTTAACCAACCTAGCTGAAAGACAAATCTCCAACTGCGGCCCGGCAGACAAATCCGTCCTTTTGACACGCCGTTTTTTGCGGACATAATAATTGACACACACATTTTTACCACATAATAATTACAACAACTACAAGTCCATAAATGAAACACTCACAATCTATTCTAAAATGCAGTATTTAATATAAACAACTGACCTAAAATCGCATCCCTTCACGTTAATTTAGGTACGTATCGATATATTTGTCTAATGTCAGCAATATGAAAGTATATTATGTAAGTTGAGGAGTGTTTGTAATTTATTAGGCGTAAACAAGCAGTGTAATTCCGAATATGAAGCTCGCAGTGTGTATACCTGGACTATTTCTTCTTGCTATAGAGATATGGTGTATCTTCGGGCAGACCGAGGTTGCAGGTGAGTACAATATCAGGCAATCACGTCAGCAACAATCCAGTGGGTATAGCCACCCCCAGGACTGGGATTTTGAAGACACCTTCACATTCGACAAGTTCTGTGGACTCAGGAAGAGAAAGCTCGAAAACCACATCTTTTAGTGACGATGTATCAGTCGTGACCATCACCTCACGAGTATCATATGAATCATGTGTTTGATTAAGGCATTTGTTTAGGACCATCTTCATAAATAACATATTTACCATCTATTGGCTGTTAATCTTAACACATTTTTTTTCTTTTGTTTTTTGTATCAATGTTTCAATATTTTCATATTGTAAAGGATATTTTCCCAAAATATTTTCATTTTTATGGTCTTTCTTTTCAAAGAAATACTTTCATTTTGTTGGTCTTTTATTCTTTTTTTTTCATAAATTTTTCGTGTTAACTATGCCAATAAGCAATTGGTTCACGTAGAAATTAATTTTTAAACACAAACGATACGTAGTTTATTCTTTACAATGGAATAAACTGCAACGTTTTAACAGAATTCTATAGCAAACGGTATTTCTACATATTTTTCAATCATTTCACCCCATCAAAGCAATATGGCCGCTAGGTTAGTAAAAGGCTACTGAGTGTTAGAGAATATAAGAAAAACTACTATTAAGGAGAAAGGACAATAAAAGAGCAAGAATTAAAAAGGCAAAAGATAACAATTGAGATTGCATTTAAAACTTTTTAAACCTACACTGCGTGCCAAATTATTATCGAGATAACTTTTTTCTAATATTTCAAAAACTTTGCTGATAACAAATATGGCGCCAGTTTGTTTACATTGCACAGATCAGTACGAAAATTTCAGTGATTGCGCAGGTCAGTGTTGCCAACATTGTGTGAAAATTTGTGTGAATTGATTGGACGGTTTTTGAAATATTAGAAAATAATAATAATAATAATAATTTGGCACGCAGTGTACTAAGAAGCAAGAAGCCGGAAGAGAGTTCCACAAACGAGAAATGCAATAAAATAAACTGTTAGTTCGTATCTCGCCATTTCAACTATAAAATAATGATTGCATACAGGTTTACTTTAAAAAAAAGGTTTACAAATAATTCACTGAATAAATACAATATAAATATTTTTACTCTATGTATTGAAAATAATTCAATGTTAAAATAAGAGTGGGTCAATTAGCTGTCAGCCTAACACAGTTATTATCAGAATTTTCATCTGTAATGTTTGATCTATGGGATTAATCAAGAAATATTGGGTTAAGGGCATTAACAAAGTAGAAGATTAGGTTGGAAACGAATATATGTTGTGCCAAATAAGTGAGGTTTACATGACTGGGCTACAGACTTGATGTATCTATGTAAATGCTGGACCCTAGAAAATTTACAAGGAATTTTATTATTATTTAATTATTCTAGATAAATGTATTGCGAATAAATTAATTGGAAATATTCTGCTAATGATTCATATTTAAAGTGAATAGCAAATAATTTGCTAGTCTTTGTTTATAGAAATACGCTGTTAAATACTTAACAATAGAAATTCATTTTAATTCACTGTCAACAACATTAGAACATAAATCTAGTGTACATGTTGTTTACTATAAGAATTCGTTAGAATTGATTTGCTGTAGAAAAAATATAAATGACCGAAATGAATAGCAAAAGAATTAACTGTAGAAAAAAAACAGAAAAACAATGCAAATGGTTTATGATAAAATTCATTGAAAATTGTTTAATAACAGGAATATACAGGGTATAAAAAAATTGACATCATTTACAATATGAATATCTAAGTAACTACATGTCCCAGGCAAACGAAATTCAATAGGCTTCATGTTGAACAGTGACAAAATTTATTTATCAAAATTCAAACAAAATATTCAAAGGGATGTAGAGTTTATAACCGATTTCACAAAGTTTCACAAATGTTTAATATGTGAACGACATGTGATACTACACACGTCAAGTTGGTGATCCAGCTCCTACCAAACACGTTGTAACATGTCTTGCGTAACATTCTCTATCGCCTAAGTGATTCCTCTACACTTGTATGGAGTGGGGGATATAGACCTTTTCTCATAACCCCCTAAAAAGAAATCATAAGATGTCAAGTTAGATGAACGTGGTAACCATTTCAACAGCACATTGTCATTATCACTGGTACATCCGTTCCATCTCCCCGGTAGATTCTCATTAAGAGAAGTCAACACAGTCAACATCGTTTTTAAACATTTTGTTTAAATTTGAGATCATTTGTGTGAGAATGTTATTTGACAATAAAATTGTGTCAGTTTCGGGTAGACACTCTGTATTTTATATTTATTTACATAATAAAAAGATTCTCATTGGGATAGATTCGCAAAGACAACTTAGTTTTTACACCTTTTGTTAAAATTTGAAATCATTTGAGCGAGAATTTTATTAGACTACAAAGTGGTATCAATTTGGGGGGACGCCTTGTATTTTATTCACCAAAAATAAAAGATATTAAAGAATTAATTTACATAACAATAACAAATAATAACTAAAAACGAACACATTTTACAAATGCTGTCTTAAATTTCTCATTATATTATTTGCTTTCTTACTTTTTTTCACTTCAAAATTTACTATCAGTTTCAAAAATTAAAAGGTAAACTGGGCTTAGCCATTAAAAAGATCCTGATTTTACTTATAATAATTCATAACAAGAGCAATTTCTGCATTTGATTATTAGAACATTTTAGAGAATCTGGTGTTGTCAAAATCTGTGCAATGCAACAAATGAGAAAAAATTCATCGGATTTAAAAGTTAAAATCAATATGACAATCAGCAACAACGAACCTTGTCTTATTTCTACAGATCTTCTTTATCATCAAATATTGCTTTTATTTGCAAACTAATTGTAAATTGTTTAAATGTTTAAATTTCTATTTTCCACTATTAAAAGTATTCAAATTTTATAAATTATTTAAAATCTGATCCTTTTTACAATATGAATATTTTCGAACATTGATGTTTGTTTTTTGTTTTTTAAAAGACTGTTTTTCATTAAAAACCTACATTTTATAATAGATGCCAATCATGTAACAAGAATACATACATATATATATACATACATATATATATATATATATATATATATATATATATATATATATATATATATATATATATATATATATATATATATATATATATATATAAGTAATCCTCGTATATATATATGTGTGTGCGTGTGTGATCATGTATGTGTGTGTATGTTTTACCAAGGAGGCTTTTACAGATTGTTTACAAAGTAAATTTGGTCAAATTTTTAAAAGTGGTCGGGTTTTTAAGTATATGAAGAGTGGATGTGATCTCTTCGAAAGTCACAGTAGGAACATGATAAGTGAACATTTAATTGTATTTATTGGTATTTATATTATTGACTCTTTATATTGAGCACTGTAATTGCAAAGACTTGCCATAAAACGTTATGTTCCAAAAACACACTAGTTGATATTTTTTTTTGCGAAATACATCTTTGTCATATATATATATATATATATATATATATATATATATATATTACTCTTATTCCTTTTTTAATTTTTAATTTTTATCTACAACGATTGTTCTTTTATTCGTCTTCATGGTGAAGTTTATATTGTCGGAAATAATTAATCTCCCCTATCTCTACATATTAACTCGTTTGCTTTACTGAACAAAGTGGCTCTTTTCGTTTTCACCTATGAGTTGACGTCCATCTTTTAAATCGTCTTTCTATCAGGCTTTAAAAGCATCATCCAAGTCGTCATCAAAAATATTTAAAAATATAAATTTATTTACCGTAGCTTCCGGTGTGTATAAATCAGCATTTTATCTGCCTCAGAATATCTTCAATTCCAGAGTTCGATTTGGATAATGAGCATTATAGGTTAACCTTAAAAGAGGTTTTATAAACCACTGAAAATCATCTACATCAACTCCAATAGACTGTCTATATATTTCCCAACTAAAAGCTCTTCTTTGATAGACTTTTTTTTTAATGCAGATACAGACATAAAACCAAAAAAAAAAACAGTATTAATACATAATATGCTGTTTCCACGGGCCTTTTGCTTTCGTTGCTGATGTATAGGTCCAGTTCTAAAGGAAAATGTGTAAGGTTACCCCTTGGACTAGGTTTTAGGTTTGCTATATGGTAGGTTAAAATCATAAAATTACAGTACCAGCAATAAAAAAGAAGAATACTTTTTCATACTTACTATTAGACCTCAAAGGAAAATTAGCAGCACCTAAATATGCTTACAATGAAATTCTGGTGGATAACTTAATTTCAGTACAGCTATTAATAAAAAAATATTTATTTAAGGTCGGTACGTACTACCCCCGAAACCCTCGATGGGGGGACCCAAGCCTGATTGGCGTCCCCGAGTAATGCATTCTGACTCTCGCTATTTTATCAACATTTACTTTTTTTCTACCTACATTTACATACCTTACTAATTAAACTAAGTACAACTAACTGTTAAAGGATGAAAAATTTGCACGGATTTTGACGTCATTCTGGAGGGGTCTTTTTTTTTTTCGTCCAAATGCGTAAATTTGTTTTGCTCAAGCTAAGTCTAAAAAAACACTATATAAAACTTGCTATTTTTTTTATCCATAATGTAATCATTCAACTTTTAACAAAGAAAATCTCAAGTTGATGTTAAAAAATACAGCAGAACATTGTTGATTTATTTAAGATGGTATGATCTATTATGACATGTCTCTAATTTGTATTTAGATACATTGTATTTATCTTCAATTTTTTTATTTTAAATGTTCATCTATATTGCATGTGATCCATTATTGTACATAATTAGGTTACAATAAAATTTGTATTATATATGAATACTACCTTATGAAAACTGAGATTTAGTAAAGTGGGTGTTCCGTGTCATAGATTGGACGGAGGCTGTATCACAGCTACGATGGAGGCCTACGAAACTCTTGCACTGGACATGCACTTACATTGATTAATACTTCATTTATTAGGTGTATGCAAAAGTTAATTATTATCTGTTTAAAAAACATTATTCTGTGATATAGCGAAAATAGATATATAGAGTAGAAGAGGAAGATAGAAAAATACGAACAGACTTAGATAGATAGATAGATAGATAGATAGATAGATAGATAGATAGATATTTGTTTAATTTATCACTATGAGAAGAAGACATCTCAATTTAACC